TGGCAACAACTTCCAAAACCAGCAGGATGAATATTTCCAAAAGCTTGTTTTGATTACAGGTTTCAGGCATTGCAGTAATTTGCTTTTGTACTTGTGTTCTACGGCATTTATTTGCACATTTCTCCAGTAAGGGTACATATGTCATAAATAAACATGTAGTTTTAATGAACTTTTGCAGGTGTGGCCTGGAACCTGGGCACCACATATTGGTAACGTGCACCTGAACCATGTCAACTAGAGGACGCAAGCATGCCCACAAATTCCTGACATGTCTTTCTGAGATTGAAACAAGATTGATCTGGGAAGAAATTAACAGGACAAAACTTTTCTGATGTGCCTAACTGAAATTCTGTGTGGGCTGTTACGCATGAACTTAATTGATTTACCACTGTCTATGAACAAAGTGATCACCTGCATAGCAGGTTCAGTTCTCTGGTTAGTTTAGCCATTTTGACTTAAGACTTGGGACAAACTATTCTTGTGCTGCTGGCTAAACAGTACTGTAAACTGCTTGTATGCAGCCGAGGACTAGATAATTATGTGAATTAATCCAGATGTTTTAGAGTGGTAAATACATGTATAATTGTTTACATACTAAAAAGGGTTAAAACGAGAGTAAATTTCATGTCGTATAGTGGCTCTACTTTATGTAGCCTGTATTAATGTGAAATATTTACCTTAATATTCAATAAAAATGAACAGTACCTCATTTTTTTTTGTCTTTATTGCTGGTGGTTAATTATTTGGGCTCTTCAAATTATTGCTTGCATTTTGGAATGCATGTTATAAATACAACTTGATGTTTTCGATTGCATGTCTCTAAATTTTTACTTACGGCAGTAATGTACAAAACATTCTGGTTAAGTATGTTGTACTTTAATTCTTGTGTGTGTTTTCCTTTTGGTATATGCTATGATTTGGCAATTCAGAAAACAACTTCAAATGAGGCTTTTAGATTATGGTGCTTGGGCATGAGATTTTGTTTCAACAGTTATATTCCATAAAGAACTACTAGTATCATGAGTATTTCTGAAAAACACCATTGACTAACTTGCATTAAAATGACAAGTTAAAGCATTACTTAATGTGATTATAGCCATGACTACAATTAAAAGCCCACTTGTTGACCCTTCCATGCCCCCTCAGCAAAGATAAGACCAGTATTGATCATGAGCAAGTAGATAATTTTCCTTTCACATTTTTATACAGTAGAAGCAAGAAATATTGTGTTGTTCTACTTCATGATACAGTACACTGAGCTGGACATACCAATCATATGAAATCCAAACGTTGCTCATTTTTTTAAAAAAAGAAATTATAGTGGAGCAATGTTGCAGTTTTTCATCGACATGCATTTCTTTAAGTAGACAGATTTTGGCAGCTAACACCAGTATCCTCCTTGATGTCAAGTCAGTTTTTCATCCAGTAAGTTTGATTTTTTTTTTAAAATGTGCCCTTGTGAATACATTCTGGATTATATATATCACCTTATGCATAAAACAGAGGAATGTATATATTCTTTAAGAATTCACTTTCTGTGACAGTTGGAACCATGTCCGCTATTTATGGCCTCCAAGATTCATCAAATCTTATAAGAAAGTACAAGTATTCTTCACTGAATTGCAAGATCAGAATGGCAGATTTCGATCTTCTGTGAACATACAAATGTAATTGTTACAATTGGCTATTTGTATCAAGGGGAAAAAATCAAAAGTGTGTCCGTTTTTCTGTCTGAATTAATACCATAGTAGACTTTGACTAAATGTGCACACCAGATTCAAGTACAAAAGTGGGAAATGATTTTTCAATTTCTTGGTTTCCATCTTTAGATGAGCAGGATTACACCATGCTCCATGTTTATGGATACTTTAAATGGGGTAGGGGTCTGTTTTTAAAAATTTTTTTTCATCATTTTAACACACCTATTGTCTCCTTGGTGACTGAAATACGCAATGCCTGAGTGAAAGTGGAATTTTAAATTGAAAATCACAACAGAGGTCGTAAACATCAAGATAAACGTGAATGAAATTCATTATTGAAACAGACCATGATTTATATTTCTCACTGTAGTTTGCCAGATCCTCTGTAGTAGAGACAACAGCATGATGTGCCTACTCCATCAGTCTGAAGAATTTGCAGGTCTACCGGTCCAATTTTAGGAGGTATGTAAAATAACTTTGAGACTACATTCTAATGTTCTTTACTGCTTGAATCTCTAAAACTTGCAAAATGTAGCTTTCAATCCTTCACAGCTTATGGGAAGATCTGGAACAGATTGAGTTTGATAAGTTCAGAAACTTGGGCAGAAGGTATTGGTAATATGTAGGAATGTTGGAAAAGGACTAAACCATTTATGAGGTGGAAGGTTGGTCCACAATTCGTTAAGGTTGCCAAATATGAATACAAGAAAATGTTGAGCTTATTTTCTGCTTTTGAAATATTGAATTTTAAGGATGTTTGTTAGCCTTTGTAAATTTCTGTAAGGTATATTTCTATTCCAAATTTAGCACTGACATAAATGGTTTGCACTTTGCACCAGTGCTATATTGATGTCATGTAAATCATTTCTTGTGCCTAATTGAAACTTACATTTCATAGAGTTGAGAGACTTTTTCAGGATGTCTCAGCTCCCTGAAATATTGAACCAAACTCTGACTCCGGAATCAGGCTGCATTTAGATTTTCAAAACATTTATCGTGTAAAAGAAAATAGCTGTCATTTATAGAATACCTTTTCAAGACCTGAGGATATACAAAAACACTTTGCAGTCAATGAAATTTGTTTCAGAAGCACTGTTACCTATAGAAAATGGCATAGAGTTTGCATGCATTCACATCCCACAAGCAGTAATGAGATAAATAGCCAACTGTTTGTTTTTACATATAATTTGAGGGATAAATATTGGCAAGGACACTAATATCTTCCTTTGTTCATCAAATAATGCCTTGGGATCTTTTGCCGAGACCTAAGTGATTAAACACCTCGTGGCGCCATTGACAGTGCAGCACTCTCTCAGCATTAGGTTGTGCTGAAATCTCAAATGGCTCTTGAACCCCTGTCTACTAAATCAAGGCTGACTGGCTGGAGCATATTGAGAATGCAAGGATTTCCAAGATGATGTTTTGGGACTTGAATTCAAAGTTAAATGGATTAAGGAAAGAGGTCATGTGATCTTCAAATTCTGCCAGGTAACAGGCCTGTTGGGGGGTGTGTTTGTTTACCAATGGGGAGCGGTGCACTCTGAGCCTAATCAAGGGCAATGTGGGGAATGTTTGCACCTGGAAACAAATGCAGAAGCAGCTGGGCAAATCGGACAGTCATTTGATCTCGTGTTTGGAACTGAAAGATGGAGATGAGTCTCTGAGACAAAGGGTGCAGCTGCTTTGGTTAGAAGAGTGGGACAAGCTGCAATTCAGCAAACTATAAGAGTGCAGGAGAGAGGGCAGTCTCTGGTCAAAGACACCTCCTGTGGCAACCAACAGCCTCAGAAAGATTTATCCAGGTGAAACTGAAAAATATTCCTGGAGTAAGCTTTAGTGCTGGTCTCATCAGTTTGTAAATCCTCCCAAAGTGGAGGGAAGCACCTTTCAGCCATCATTTGATGTTACAATTTCAACCAGGAGATGTGAACCCATTGGAAGCTGGGAGTAGCTGTGGACCATTTTGTATGAAGGCTGCAATCCTTTGGAGATTGTGCACATATGTACATGTATGTCTTTCCTGAAGACCCTTAAAATATGCAGCTAATTCGGCTCACTATTATTGCATAATAATGGGTTCCCCAAAGTCAGGTTTTCAGCCTTTATAAGATGCCTTCCTTTCTGACACCTCTTACATCTTTGTTTCTAGAGTTTTCTTCTCATTGACTTCTAAACCACTCAGGACAACTTCGTAGCCTGAACTGCATGGAAAGTGCTGATAACAACAGATCACCTCCCCACATAAACTGCTTCTGGTCCCTTCTCGCTCTGTGTGTGTGTCTCTCTCTCTCTGTTCCACACACCACCACCCAACCCCCAAT